ACGTTCCAGATTAAAGCTTAAAACAAATTAATTTCCTGAATTAAGGCCGTGCGTTCACTAAACCTTGTGAATTTTCTTACTTTTAAGATGAGATCATAAAGATGGAGAAAAAGGAGAAAAAGAAAAAGGCTGGGACTGCCAACGGAAAAGCTGGCCCGAAACGCACACAAGGTAGTGCGAGAGGACGGAGTGGTGGACTAAGGGGTAGAGGCGCAAGAGTTAAACGTAACGTTGGAACTGCCAAGAAAGAGCAAACATGGCAACCTGGACAAAATAATAATAACAATGTGCGTGGGGGTTTCATAAGGAAACGATACAAGAAAAACAATGGTCTGACCAGATCACGAAGCAACTTGACATTGAATCAGAAATCAAACGCACGAGGTGCTTTCAATGTTCGCCGTGGTCGAGGCAATAGATTTGGTTTGACTCGTAGTAGAAGTCGCACAAACTTGACTTTTACTCAAGGAGGATTTTTCACCAATAATAAAACTCCGTTGAAAAGAACGAACAGTCTGCCAAATTTGCGGGACCCAACTTCGGTTCACAACCGATTGGGATATCAGAGTCCTGCTCAAATTGCTTACCGCAATCGTGTTAAAAGAGCAAAACAGTTGTTGCTGCAAAGACAAAATCAAAGATTATCATTGCAAAATCAGTTCAGAGTAAGTATCTCGTTTGTATCGGTACCGGAGAAAGGATCGGAAACTAAATGGCTACATGGAAACTGTCGTGTTACAGGTACCACAGGCAGGGAAGCCTTTGCTGTCGCTCCAGCAGAGAAACGCCATAGAGAGAAGACAACAGATTTTAACATCTCAGCGTCGTTTCACTACAGGCGGATTACGTTCAGATCAGATTGCCAGAGCCCAGAGACGCGCGCAATACGAACAGAAACTGATGAGACTAAAGTATGATCAGAGTATCTTTTTTGGTTTAGTTTTACAGTATAAAGTTTTACAGTATTAATTTGAAGAAGTCTCCCATTCAGATCGTTGCAAATGTCGCAACGTTTGCTTCGCACTTTGATATTTTTTTTTTCCGATGTTTTAAGTAGGTTTCCCTACAGAATGTATTTGCGTTTGAATAATATGATGAAACAATGTTGTAGTTCCCCACGATTAAGTACTAATTCAAATGTGAACTTCATGTGTACCTTGGGAAACGAATATACCCCTAGCACACATCAACGTCCACTTGCTCTTACACCGAGTCGAAATGGAAGTGCTGTGAACAGTTTGCGTCAGTTACCCAGGGGACGTTCACCGTTCAGACAGAGTGTACAAAGTTTAAATATGGTATGTTTCCTTTTCCATGAACAACCCGTTGCGTGCTCTCAGCGCGAAACTATCGTAACTAACGTAACGTTCTGTTGTTTTGATAAATGAATCGTGTATATACGGTGTAATAAACCTGTTGGATTTTAGGTTGGTCGGTCACCATTATTTGGTCGACAGCGTTCAAGGTCCAGATCACGTTCCCGTTCTCGTACACGTAACACACCTTCGTCGGACACTGGAGCTGACGTCGACGATCGTACCTTCAGCGAAGTCATGTACAGCTTATCCGGGAATCTCGGCGTTACGGACAGAACGTTAAACGATAGATTTAGTTTTTGAATTTATTGAAACGATTTGTTTTGTATTTAGAGTATAAGACTGTTGAGGCCAGAGGTGAAAGTTTTATGCTTGAAACATATAGATACACGGGGCAACATTGTCTTACAAATTCTATTAATATTTAAGTTGTATCACGTGCAAACAGACAAGTAACTAGTTTCCTCGCATGTACTTCTGAACTTTTTCTTGTTTTGTATTTCTAATATGAACATTTATCTTTAAGTCGTAGAGCGTAGATGATTTACGTTTTGAGTATATTAAGAGTATTAGACACGGATAGAATTTTTAATAAAATTTCATATCTTTATTATTTTCAATATCTCTGACATTACCTCACAATGCTTTGATTTGCATATTATTTGGTTATTATTTCGTTTCTTTTTTTTCTCTCGATTACGACTTTGTACAAACAAACTCGCGTTACGTTTATAAAATATTATAAAAATTGCCTAAGGTTGTTTAAAAAGTTTTTATATTAAGACACGTTTGATGTTCAAATGCTTTGAACATTGGGAAATTATTCAATTTTTTATGATTCTCTTAATTTGCAACTCGAGTATTGGTGATTTATGGAAAGCGAAGGCCTCGATAAAAATTTTGTTTGCTCCATTGCGTTATACACGTCATCTGAAGTGTGAAATATAATAATAAGTAAAACAAGATACTGTAACTGCATACGAATTATCGGAACATTAGAAATTTTGTTAAGGACGTAGTTCCTAAGATAATCGTAAGTCTGATTTAATAAGAAACTACTGTTATCATTAATACGCTGTATTAATAACACAAGCCGACTTATATTTGAAACGTATCCGAGTTATATCTAAACCGATATACCAATGAACTATAAATATACATATAACGATAATGATGATGATAATGATGATAATGATGATAATGATGATAATGATGATAATGATAATGATAATAATAATAATAATAATAAATGTAGCATGAATTTCATAATTTCTGGTTACAATTGTTTGATAATTGTGAACGCTTGTAAGAAAATCTGTAATTTCATTCTATATAGATGTACAATGTAAATTGACTTTTTATATTTTACTATATTAACATAATTTAATATATGTATCTTCTACGCATAGAGAAATATCATCGTCAGGTTTATTACAATAATATAAAAGTTCGATTCAACCAGTGGACTCACTATCCTAATTTGCAATTCGTTAGCTCCATTTTCGTTGGACGTTTCATCGTTGTCCTAAGTAAACTAACTCGTGAAAACATTTCTACCGATATTGCTATTGATTAGAACAAGTAAAACGCAAAGGAATTTTTATCAATCGCGCATAAATAAGTTCGTTTATCGTAACAACACAAAGGGGTGTGTGTTCACTGCCTACTCGGCTTAATCTGCAATGTACACAATGAAGTTTATTCTGAAAGTTGTAAGTTGAACGTTCTCTACGATGGGTCTGCGAAATCTGTAGATGACAAAGTATCGTTTTGTATATTTTTTATTATTTACAACTAAACGAATCGGATCAAATCAAATCAGTCGTTTCTCGAGCAAACCGAGTTGCTTAAACTCGATTATTGATAACATGTCTATCAGTATATTATCTTTTGCATCGATCGCTACTCGGACAATAAACAGACAGGTAGTTGTTCTCGCGTTTTCAAGATTTTTTCACCGTTCGTTATCGTTAGCGCAAATATTCTGACTGACGAGTAAAAATGTTTTCCAGGTTTTCCGTCGCACGTCTGTGATTCTTCAGCAAATTCGACGTCTGCAAGTTCACGAACATGTCGCGTATACTTTGTTGAAGGAAGCTGGAATCCCGACTCCGCCATTCAAAGTGGCGAAAACTCCCGATGAGGCTGGTAAAGCGGCCAAGAACCTCGACACGAAAGACATTGTATTGAAAGCCCAAGTACTCGCTGGAGGCCGAGGAATGGGACATTTTAAGGGTACCGATGTCAGCGGCGTTGTCATGTGCGAAACGTAAGTCCGATCGAAAGATTCGTTCAATCGTCGAGTATCACGTTCAATTTAAAGAACTTTACAGGCCTGAGCAGGCGAAAGGTTTGGCCAGCAATATGATAGGCAAACTGTTGCTAACAAAACAAACTGGAGAAGCTGGAAGGATTTGTAATTCGGTAATGGTAACGACCAGAATGTTTCCTCGCAGGGAGTATTACATGGCAGTTATGTTGGAGACGAGTTTCAATGTAAGTTTCTCGAAGAGATCACTCTTCCGTGCGAGAGGACTGGTTAATTGGATTTCAGGCTAAACCGATGAATAACGTTTAGGGCCCGGTTATAATTGTGTCGAAACAAGGCGGTGTTAATATCGAGGATATCGCCGCTACGAGTCCCGAGGCCATAGCGTACACGCCAGTCGATATAACGAAGGGTCTGACAGCCGAGCAAGCGAATGAAATCGCGAAACGGTTGGATTTGAAAGGAGAGGATGGACAAATTGTTTCGGCGATTGCTTGCAATCTTTACGAGTTGTTTATCGAAAAGGATGCTTTGTTACTCGAGATAAACCCATTGGCGTTGGATCTTTGCGGAGAATGTACGTATAGCAACGGTGCTTACACGCCATCGCTTTAAGAAGGTCCGATCGACAACTGTGCGTGTATTTGATTTCCAGATCATGCTTTAGATTGCAAATGTTCGTTCGATGACAGTGCAGAATTCAGGCAGAAAGAACTATTCGCCTTGCAAGATATTACACAGATGGACCCAAATGAAGTCCGAGCGAGTAAATTTCATTTAAATTATATATCCCTCGATGGAAATATAGGTTGCATGGTAAATGGAGCTGGACTAGCGATGGCTACTATGGACATTATCAAATATAATGGCGGTAGACCAGCCAACTTTTTGGACGTGGGCGGCACTGCCACTGTAGAAACCGTCAAGGAAGCTTTTCAAATAATTGTTTCCGATCCAAAGGTGTTTAAGACGTTACTAAACTGTGAATTAAATGTGCGTGAATGAAAACTGTGCGAATGAAATGTTGATTTTCAATTTCTAGGTAGAAGCGATTTTTGTCAACATATTTGGTGGTATCATGAGGTGCGATATAATCGCGCAAGGAATTATCACTGCATCTAAAGACCTGAACTTGACTTTACCGATAGTCGTGAGGTTGCAAGTAAGTTATTAATGAATTTCATAGAATCACGTGAAAATAACTGTGTTCTTCTTTTAAAGGGCACCAACGTGGAGGAGGCTAAAGTATTAATTCGCGATGCTCGGTTAAAAGTTATTTCCGTGGATGATTTCGCCGAAGCGGCTGAAGCGGTAGTCAAATTGGCTTTAATGGTGAACTTTGCGAATTCTTTAAATTTAGACATTAATTTCACGAGTAAGCAGAAATCCGGTTACGAGACCAGCAACTGTAAACGATAGAAGAATAATAACAGAAATGTGTTGAACACCTTTAAAGAAAAATATCCGGGAAACATTGAAACGTATAATCTGTTCTTCGTCTTTTTTACATTAGACCATGGTGATTATGGCTCTATATAATTATAGACGTACGAGTATAAAAAATAAAGATCGCTTTTCAATCCACGCTGTATCGAGTGTAATGATTTCCCCTAAACATTCTACACATAGAGAAACCATTATCGATGTATTCGTTGGATTGAATGAAAATTCTTATTTCCTTGAATCGTTCAGCTATTAAGACGATTCGGAATATTTTCGGAAACTTTTCAATCGTTAAGACGTAAAGAACATCTAATTCGAATAACGATTAACTTGAAAGAAATGTGGTGCCGCCACCGCGGCTCATTGTGCGCGGAGTTTGCGTCATGTTTTTGTAGGAAACGTCAAGAAAGGTGGGGACACGAAGGCGTAGCTTACGCTTGTCAGTCCACTGCCACTGCTTTAGTAAGATGGCTACGATGTTGTCGCGGACCATCTCACTCGCTGAGAATCTTGCCCGATTCAATGGGCCCAAGGTACGTTGGGGACGTATTCCCCATATGGTAGTGTTTCATCTGTTCGTTTTTATTCATGTGGGAATATTCGATTTGTTTACTTGTCCAGTTAAATTTAATAGCGCATCGAATGATTCATACCAAGTGTATCCACCATCTTTGATATCTGTAGTCTGCTAAATTGGGCGCCAGGGTCAGACAATTCGAAGCCAAAGATCGCGGCCTTGCGTTAAACCTATTATTTTCACGAATTATGAGAGTGACAGTTATGCAATACGTTTACGAATATTCCCATGTTCGTTCATCCGTTCACTGGTCATTGACTTGGTAACGTCGGTTCGTATTTAATTAACGATGATTGAATTATCACCGAATAAAGACTACTTGTCGGACTGTCATCAGTGTCACTTCGAAAATTGAAAATTTCAACTAATCGGCCTCTTGTCGTTTGTTTTCCATCTTATCGATTCGTGTTTCCTTGAACTTATCGTCGCCAATCTTTATCAACAAACCGTTATTATCTGAAAAGATATTTTAATGTCATGTCGACGTTATTTAGTTATCGATAACAAGTCTTGCATTTGAATTCCACTGGCGATGCTGTTTAATCATCAATAACGAGTCTTGTACGACGAAGATCAAATGTAAAGTATGTGGGTCATTACCACTGATCGGTTTCTGAGTTCAGATTATTTTTAAATCCGAGAGACCAAGGAGTATTTTGAGCCTGTGTCAAGTGTCAATGGCAATGTATTAGATCATTTGTACTTGAATTGTATTTCTTCTCGTATCGTATTATATATTTCATTTGCATATTTGTTTAATTTGCTTTCCTAGATATTGGGATGCAAGACCAACTTGGTAAAACAGCCAGTGAGGAACTTAAACGTGCACGAACATATCAGTTACAGTTTACTAAATGAAGCTGGAGTGCCAACTCCGAAATTTGGAGTCGCTAAAACTCCAGATGAAGCTGCAAAACTTGCAGCCGACTTGAAGAGCAAAGATATTGTTTTAAAGGCACAAGTTTTAGCAGGTGGCAGAGGGAAAGGTCATTTTAAAGGCACCAATGTCAGTGGAGTAAAGATGTGCGAAACGTAAGTCTTTGAAAGAACCTCGCGTCGAAGAATCGCTTTTCAGTTTATGGAAAAGATAACATTTATAGGCCAGAAGAAGCAAAGAAGTTAGCCAGTCAAATGTTAGGAAAGTTATTAATTACAAAACAAACAGGAGAAGCAGGTAGGATATGTAACGCAGTGATGGTAACACAGCGCATGTTTCCCCGCAAAGAGTATTACCTTGCAGTCATGATGGAAAGAGCCTTTGGAGTATGTTTTTAAATAATATATATACACACATATATATATATATATATAATTTAAACCGATAAAAGTGCAACATGTAACGTGCAAACTTGTAAATTCAAGGGTCCAGTTATAATAGCTTCGAGTCAAGGTGGTGTAAACATAGAAGAAGTCGCTGCAACAAATCCTAGTGCTATCATGTACGAGCCCATCGACATTCTAAAGGGAATTACAAAAGAACAGGCAGAACGTATTGCTGTTAAGCTAGGTCTACAAAATGTTAAAGATTATATTTCCAATATCATTGTAAATCTGTATCAGATGTTTGTCAAGAAAGATGCTCTCCTGCTGGAAGTAAACCCTCTTGCAGAAGATATTAATGGAAACTGTAAGTTTCAAGTAAAAATTAGCAAAGACTGGATGAATTATGAAATAATACTAAATCGAGAATGTTATTTCGTTGTATTTAGACTTTGCATTGGACTGCAAGTGTAGATTCGACGACAACGCCGAGTTCAGACAAAAGGAATTATTTGCCTTGAGGGATTGGACTCAAGAAGATCCTAAAGAAGTCGAAGCAGCAAAGTTCGATCTGAATTACATTGCACTTGACGGCAATATTGGTTGTATGGTCAATGGAGCTGGTTTAGCTATGGCTACTATGGACATTATAAAATTACACGGAGGAGAACCTGCGAACTTCTTGGATGTCGGTGGTGGTGCGTCCACTTCAGCTGTAAAGGAAGCATTTAAAATCATTACATCGGATCCACGTGTAAGTAATACACATGGGTGTACCCGGAATATATGGAAGAATTAAGCAAAATATTTTACGTGCACCAACACAGGTTCATGCTCTTTTGGTTAACATCTTTGGTGGCATCATGAGGTGTGATGTAATCGCAGAAGGAATTATAGCTGCAACTAAAGAACTTAGCTTAAAAATTCCTGTTGTTGTTCGATTGCAGGTAACGTGACTAAAAGATAGTAAATAATTGTTTTTCAAACGATGGCTGACATAAAATATACTAAATACTATGACGTTCGATTGTTGTTCTATTCTAGGGTACAAACGTAGACGAAGCGAAAGCCCTGATCGCAAACGCAGGTTTGAAAATCGTACCGATCGATGATCTCGACGAAGCTGCTCGAGTTGCGGTGAAACTGTCTACGATTGTCAAGTTGGCGCAATCGGAGAATCTTAGTGTGAACTTTGAGATACCTTCGATTTCATAGATTTAGCAAGAATTGTAACTACCAGAAGAAAGAAAGTTAAAAGAAAGAAAGAAAAGTCAAAAATATATTCGCGCCCTGTTAAACGGTTGGAAGAACATTTGAAAGTAATAACTACGTAACAACTTCGAATGTTATTTCTGCGCTTATCTCTTTAGAATCACATCTCAGTGTTTCAAACGCTGCCGCGTCACGTGGAATAGCAAAATGTTCATCGAAAGTGTTCTAAATAAGACTTGTACTTTTCCGAGAGAACACGGTGTTTCTTCATACTCCTGTAAATGTTGAATGCTAGAAAAATTACCCAAACTATTCATTGGAACTTTTTTAGTGTTGCTTATTTTCCATTGTAAGCACAAACTCATTACTGGGAAGTGTGCAGGCTTCTCTGAAAACATTGTTTATTGCTTGCCCGTCAATGGGTCTCTGTGATTCAGTATTAAAACTAAGTTATATGATATATATTTATCGACATAGCTATATTTTTTGCACGAAAGTCTATGCAACATTCTTTCGAAGCTTCTATTTGGACCGACAAGGTGTAACTGTTACTAACCGAAAAAAAAAAAGAATCAATTGTAACTCTATCCGCGAGACAAATTGTTGT